AGTGGGAGGGGGGGTTAGGAGCCAGGACTCCTGGGTTCTCTTCCCATCTATGGGAAGTGGGGGCTAGTGGTTAGAATAACAGACTAGAAGACAGGACTCCTGGGTTCTTTTCTGAGTGCCTACCACTGACTGACTGACCTTGGGCGAGCCCCTTTCCCCTCCCCCGCCTCAGTTTCCCCACAAATGAAATATCGTAAGGACACTAATCCTTCTCCCAGGAGAGGCGCTGGCAGTGATGTCACGGCTCCCAAGTGCTCAGAGATTCCTGGTCAGGCTGCCTTGGTCTTTCGTTCCAGGGCGCGCCGTGGGATGTGTGGCCCATTCCTCCACAGGCCCTGCTTGCTCGGAAATCACCCCCACGGGCACGGAGAGCGCATCGCATGAATGGCTCCAAAGTCACTCTTGGCGGCAGGGGACTGAGGGAGGGAGAGCTGGTTATTTGGGCTTTGTGGATCAGCCAGCGCTGCCCCGGTGACGGATGGCTCCAGGGAGCCGGTTACTGAGCGGGGCCATTGGCGGGTGGGGAATTCGTCTGATTTTCCCCCCATCCAAACCGCCTGTGCCCCGGGGAGGGGGCAGATGGGCTCAGCCAGGAGCCACTCCAAGCCCCAGTATTTTTTTTGCAGGGGGTGGGGGGGGATTTTCTTCCCCAGCAACGAGTGCTGGGGTGGGGCTCCCCGAACATCCCCTCCCCGCTGGGAGCACGAGAAGTTTCTGAACCAGTTCCTGGGCCATGTGCTTCCTGCCAGATGGGGGTGGGGGGTGGGGCTGTTGGGTGACACAATGCACTTCACTTCCCCTGCCCCCCATTTACCTCTCCCCAATGCTGTATCTACACTGCTCCTCTCTAACTCCGGCAGAGTTACCACGCTCCCACCATGCCCTACATGTCCCCTCAGAGATGCCCAGGGAAGAAGCCCCCAAAGTGGCCATTTTCAGTGCCCCGTTGCTGGCATTTCGGATGCCAGGAGCTGGAGGAAAGGGGCATCCACTGGTTGGGCTGAGCAGATGTTCTGTGGTGTCCCGGCGCCACCCAGAGGTCTGTTGGCACCAGACACACAGAGCTTATGCAGGGTGGGGATCCCAGCTGGTTGGGAAGTTTTAGACAAACTTTTTTTTGCTGGAAAAGG